ATATATATTCAATTCTCCAACTATTCACAAGGTAGAGAGTTTGTATTGCTTTTTATTTTTAAAATAGAATTGGCAACACTATAGAATTCAAACAACTTTTTTATGGCAATTTTTATCAAGGCTCTTTTTTTAAAGACTTTTCCAACGACTATTTTTGCAATTCCAATGAATATTATAAGCAAATGCTTATTTTATAAATAACTGATAATCATGATTTTTTTCTTCATTCAGTTACTGGTTTCTTTTTATAAAGATTTATGTAATTTTTTCTATCAACCAGAATTCCACTACTCCCAACTAGTTGTAATTGAGGTGAGAATAACAAGCTACTTTTAAAATACAAAGAGTAGTTTTTTTCATATAATATTGTTAGGTTTTTTTCTTCAAGTTTTGTATAACTAATACTCCGTAATTTATTATATAAATAAATACTTATAATTAACAAAAAAAATTAAAAATAAATATATTTTAGTGTACCCACTATATTTATTGAATATAGTAAAAAAGGATTTTTATATTTTAATTTCCGAAATTAGACTTAAAATATATTTAAATTATTACTAAACTTGTTCATGTACATTACCAAAAAGTATAGTAATGTGCAGATATACAGTGTCACACTACGTACTATTTTGATTTTTTTTTTATATTTTAATCCTATTTAAGATGATTTCTACTGAAAAAATTAAATTTAGAGAAAGAAACAAATGGAGGCATTTATCTTCAAACAAGGGTATATATGAAAAATGAAAAAAAAATCAATTTGAAGGGAAAAAATGAAAAACGAAAAGTGAAGCACTAACATTCCGTATTTCTTATCAAACTGGAGGGTTTGTCATTTCAGTTCATGAGAACTACTGTTGTGTGCATCACAGCATTTATTAATAAAAATAGATAAATAATACTCTGTAATAAATAAAATCAAAGGAATAAATTTAAAATGGACACAAATAAATAAAAAGATTAATATTAAGTATTTAAATTAAAAAATTCAAAAAAAATAAAATTGAGGAAGAAGGCAAGAGGAAGAAGAAAAAATAAGGGATTGTGGTGCGGCGGATTGCTGCAGTGGGTGACCAATGTGAAAATCAACAACTTTTTAAGCACGGCTTTGCACCGCTCTTCCACTATGTTTAGTTTAAGGAATTTGACAGGGAAAGGAAAAGAAAATGTGAAGGAAAACATTTTTCTTGTTTGGCTAGAGAGGAAAAGAAAAGGAAAGTGGAAGGAAAAGAGAATGAGATAGCAAAATGTACTAAGATGAGAGAAAACCAAATTCTTTTCTTTTCCTTCCTATTTCCTTGAACCAAACATAGTGTTTGGGTGAGCACCAAGGCGTGCGGCGCGGCTCACCTACTGCAGTAGGAGTCCGGCGCAACGCTACTTCTGGAAGGGTGCAACACAGCGGGTTTTTCAGCCACGGTAAATACCCTAAGTAATTCTTGTAATCTTGGATATTGGATTATTCGGTAAATAGTCCTCAAATTTTAAAAAATTACTCCGTATAAAATAAAAAATAATAATCCATCAGGTAGAGAATCCACGTCAAACATGTATAAGACATGTATACGATGCAAAGAAGTAAAACATACTCCCTCCGTTCCATTAAACCCTTCCACTTTTGACTTTTGGTAAAAATAAGCAAAGTGTAATTTTGGTTGACTTTCCAATTTTGCCCATGATGAGATGGGTAAAAGTAAGATGTGATAGTTTGATTATTAGTGAAAAAGTATGATGTGATAGGTGGGGTATGAAAAAATAAGGGCAAAAGTGGTTTTTTAATAGAAAGTGGAAGTGTTTTAGGGAATTCAAAAAAAATGAAAGGGGAAGAGTTTTGTGGAAGGGAGGGAGTATAATATTAAAAACACTAATTTGAAATTTCAATTATGAAGTCGTGTAAGCTTTAATTAAAGTACATTGTTTGCTATCTGTTAGGGCAAGCCTCATAACAACTTTTTTCATTTATTTTATAGTGATCTTTTCATGTACAGTGCAATATTCGTATTAGTTTTATGAAAAATGCTTGGACTACACCAAAGGTGTACCTCATTTGTCCCCCACCCCTACTCCACCACATAAATGGGCAAATACTTTTAAAAAAATTAAATAAGAATAGATTGTGAAAAAGGGGGTGGGAGACAAATGGAGTACACCTTTGGTTAACCCCTAGCATTGCTCTACTTTTATATGAGGGTAGTGTCATGTGCTATAACTCTGTAAGTGAATAAGTGTGGAGAGTATATACATACCTTATACTCCCTCCGTCCCGAAAAACATGAGAGTTTTGATTTTGAAGAGAGATTTAAGGAGAGTATATTTTGGTATTGAATTTCTAAAAATTTCCTTTGATGTGATGGGTAAAAATATGATTTAATGGATGGATTATTAGTAAAAAGGTATGATTTGATAGGTAGGGCATAAAAAAGTAAGAGGTAAAAGTGACTTTTTAATAGAAATGAGAATTGTTTTTTGGACGAATTAAAAAAGAAAGGAAAAAGGTTTTTAGGGACGGAGGGAGTATTTTTTATATTGCATCATCCCTTGATCCATATATTAACCATATTTACTTATTCAAAGATTGTTTGAAATGTTATTTAGAAGGCTTCCGCAAATATTTAGATTTGTTACTCTGATTAATTTATGTTCTAAATCATTATAAATGAATGGTTTACTTCAAATGTTTTAAATTGATTGTCATATAGATACCATTTAGTAGCGATTATATTCCTTAACTTTTTTCGTCAGATTACATGGGTTTAGGAGTTACATTAGATCTAATCACACCAGATTAGATCAGATCTTTTAAAAATTACATCTTAGAGTAGTGGAAATACACTTAATGTCGGGGGGCGCCATGGGGCGTTTAACGCCACTTGGGCATTAAACACCGCCCCCTATGGGCATCACTCAAGCGTCACATGCCTGCGTAAAAACTTTGACGCAATTCTCCCCTCCCCAACGGCTAATTTAGCCGTTAAGATGGGTAATTTACTTAAATAGGACTAAAACCTAATGACTTTTTCAATATAGGACCATATGTTTTTATTTCCCAATGTAGGACCATTGGTCATTATCTATTAGTCATTATTCAACTAAATGTCCAGCATCGTTTGGGCATTATTCTTCTCACTAGATATTATTAAGTCCTATTTAGAAAATAAAAAAGTTTAAGTCCTACATTGGGAAATGACTCATATTTTAGTCCTATTCAGTGCAAATTTCGCTTATTTTCAATCTCCAATTCTCAACCTCCTTCACATCTTTAATTTCTTCAATTTTTGTTAACATGAATCCTCCGGGCTGCGGTTTTTCCCTCGACGGTCTCGAGCCAAATGAGTACGTCATGTGGATCTTCCAACAATACGGGAGTAATCCAAGGATGTTCGAAACACAACCATCAGTGAACCTTGATAAGGCAGAGTGAATTTCGGAGACTCAACCAGAATAATTGGGAACGAAAAATGCACACTGGAAGAGTCACAAAGCGAAAGGCGACCAACCGATGACCGAGGTGGCACAGTCGTCAATCCAAAAGTGGGTGCCGGGCGGAGGGTCCGACTCTATTTCTAGAGGGTCTGGCTTAGTATCTTCTCAAGATGATATCGGTCAGGCAACGGTTGAACAACTTCGGGTGTTCAATATTAGAGAAGAGATGAAGAGAATGAAGCAATAAAAGGAAGAGATCGAAATAATTAAATTTTATTAATTTAGTTTTAAAAGATGTTTATTTAAAATGTAAAAAATAAAGGTTTGAATCCCCAGTTTGAAGCCCCGGGGCTTCAAACCCATTTCCAGTAAAAATGTGAGGTAAGTTAAAGCTGAGTGGTAGGGAGAGAAACTTTGAATCCCCGAGACTTCATACGTATTTCAAGTGCTATGATTATATCAGATGAACAGAACGCAACCTAAGGGGATTGAAAGGGGGAATTGGAGGGAAGGGTACGTTTATTTCCGGGTAATTTACCTTAATAGAACTAAAACATAATGATTTTCTCAATATAGGATCATATGTTTTTATTTACCAATGTAAGATCATTGGTCATTATCTATTAGTCATTATTCAACTAAATGTCCAGCATCACTTGGACATTATTCTCACTGGTGATTATTAAGTCCTATTTAGGGAATAAAAAAGTTTAAATCCTACATTGGGAAATGACTTATGTTTTAGTCCTATTCAATGCAAATTTTACTTTTTTTATTCCTCTAATCCTTCAAACCCCCCTGCCCCCCTAAATCGTGGATTTGAGCATCCTTAATTAGCGATTTAGCAAGGAGCATGAGGTTAAGAAGGGGCAGAATTCATCAAATTTAGTAAGGGAAAATTGTAGGTCCCTGGGTCATAATATGACTCAAAGTTTCAAAATCAAATGAATCATTTTGCTGGAAGTAAGAATTCTCATTTTTCTAGATATTAAGTGCTGAAATCTTTTCTCATTTTTCTAGATATTAAGTGCTGAAATCTTTTTTATTTCACTAAATACTAAAATTAAAAACTTGACATTAGAGATATTGAAGTCCTAATATTTTTTTGGGTAATTTACCTAAATAGGACTAAAACATAATGACTTTCTCAATATAGGACCATATGTTTTTATTTCCCAATGTAGGACCATTGGTCATTATTTATTAGTCATTATTCAACTAAATGTCCAGCATCACTTGGACATTATTCTTCTTCCTAGACATTTTAAGTCCTATTTAGGGAATAAAAAAGTTTAAGTCCTACATTGGGAAATAACTAATGTTTTAGTCCTATTCACTGCAAATTTCACATTTAATTATCTTTTTCTGCTCAATTAGTCTATATATTTCTCGTCTTTAATTAATTATTGCAGAATGTTCATTATATATTTATATTGCTCTTTTTTATTTTTTTTTAATAATATACGGAGTATAACAATGTGTACTTTTAATTCATTAAAGAATTAGAAGAATTGAAAATAAGTTACCAAAATTCAAGCACACAATATAAAAATATAATAATGCATCTCTAAATTTTAAAAGTAAAACCCCTCCCTCCAAGTATAACCAAACATTCCAACATTCTCTCTATCTGCTCTCTTCACTACCTATTACGGAGAATATACTTTTTATTGCCTTCTTTCTCATAATAATACTCCATTATTAATTACAACCTTAATTAACCTAGTACTCCACTTCTTCTCTTCACAAATGGAAGAAATTGCGGCTTTCGGCGTTCCCAAGATTCGCGGCGGCGTCCCCTCCAACCGGAAGGTTGCGACCAAGGACGCCGCCTCGGCTTGGGAGTCCTCTGGGGGTACCAAGATGAGGTACCGAGGCGTCCGCCGCCGCCCGTGGGGCCGTTACGCGGCCGAGATACGGGACCCGCTCTCAAAGGAGAGGAGGTGGCTCGGGACCTTCGACACCGCGGAGGAAGCCGCCTGCGCTTACGACTGCGCCGCCAGAGCCATGCGCGGCACCAAGGCCAGGACCAACTTCGTCTACCCGCCGCCGCTCCTTGCCGCCGGCGCCGAGTTCTTCGGCCTCCCTCTCTCCGCCAACCGCGCTAAAGTATTCCCCTCCGGCCCCGGGCCCCACCAGATGATTTCTCTCAAGGATTTGCCCACCAAGCAATTCTTTCAGTCAACTTTTTCGAACAACCATTCCTCAACCAGAAAGGTAGTCAACAAATCTCTGAACACTCTTCTCTGCTCATCGGCGTCCGCCGCCGCCCCTAGCTTCAACCCCTGTTTCTCCGGCGGCGCCGCCGTGGGCCGTACGCTGTCCAATGGCTCGGAGGTCAAAAGTGGCGGCGGGAAAGGAATGGAATTCTTCCCGACGGAGTCCTCGGACTCCGGGCTGCTGGAAGAGGTGCTAAACGGGTTCTACCCAAAGCCCGCACCCGCAAAACACGACCCGTCACCGGCCACTGATCACGAGAAACATGACAATGCTAACAACTTTGGGAGTTTTGAAGGGCAGTTTGGGCATTCAAGCACTGGGTTTGATGACGATTTGCAGCCGGCGCCGCCGTCGTTGCAGTTCCATAATGACTTCCCGGCGGCGAGCTTTCAGTTCCCGCCGGAAACAATGTGGGGAGACGTGGTTTACCCGTACCCGGAGCCTGCTTCGTTGAGTGTGTTTAATTATTGCTTATAATAAGTGTTAAAAAAAATTAATTACTCCAACCAGTGGGTAGTGAACTAATGATCTTTTTTTTTTCCATTTTTGAAAAATGGACTAATTAATGGAGTCATAAAAAGAACTTTACTAGGTAGATTTTAATGCATTATTATTAACTGCAGTTAATGTTTTATGCAGGCAAACAACATCATGTTGTCTCTGCTTTAAGTTCAGTTTCGTCTTTTATCTGATGTTCAGGAATACGAGTATTAAGTAAAGCATCCAATCTGACAACTATTTTGCTGTCTAAACCACTCAAATAAATCAAAGTGTATTCTAAAGTTATACCAAAAAGTACTCCCTCCGTCCCCAATTTCATTACAAATTGTGGGTTACAGAGTAAAATTTTCTACTTATTGAAATCATTTTATTTACAAACAGGTATATCAATAAGATATAAAAATTACATATTAAAAAATTACGTCAAAAGTTCTACAAAACAAGAGTTGATAAGAATATTTTATTTTATCAAATATTTAATGAAATCATGTAAACAAACAAAAGTTATCGAGAGTAGTATATACTAACATTTCTGTGTGAACTATTACCTTAGCATTACACCGATACAAAATTACTCTTCATTCTTTAAATTTAATGAAAACAGTGTTTCTATTTTAAAGTAAAAATAAGGTATATCCTACAAATACCTTCACCATATCTTGCTTATGTGGAATTCTATTAAGTTCTTGAATGTTTCGAATATAATATCAAACCTGTAAAATATAAAAATGTCTACGTATTAACACGATTAATTTGTATATTCAATTTCAAGGACTTGTTTAATATTTTGAACTAGTAGTATTTCAATCCGTGTCATGCACAGAGTCAAGCAAAATTTTTGTCTTTTCAATAAATATTTTTCCATATAATATTTTTTATATTAAAGCAAATATATTACACGTGTACATTGACATCTAAGTGCTCCTATCTGTGTCTTAATGTATATATAGTCACCAGGCATGGGTAGCTCAGTTGGTCAAGAGCGTGAAATCTTGGACCGATGTCCAGGGATCGAATCCCGCAAGCGGCAGTGAGGGAGCTATCCAAAAATCCCATAAAGGGTGAGGAGGCTCCTTGTGCGCGGTGGGCACGGGTCTAGCGTTCTTGGCCGACTGAGTCACCATGATTTACATCCTCCACCATTCCTGTCGGGCAAGGGGGTGGGGGCGCCTGGGGTGGGCGATTCCACCTTTTTGGACCGATGTATATATAGTCACGAGTAGTTCAACCTACGATCCGTGCTAATGTCCGTGCCTATTGCGCGGTTTTTGTAGTGTATATCTTTCATATTATAAATTTAAAAAATGTAAAAAAATAAAGATTACGGATCCTATGATTAAAAAANCCCCCCCCCCCCCCGCATTAATAAAAAAATCTTAATACAACAAAAAATTAGGAATTCTATGATTTTGAAAAGAAATTAATAAAAAATAATTGACATTTTTTTTATTTTTTGCTTTATTTTCAAATACAAAATCATTTTCATGTTTGTGAACGCATCGTGGTCAATACAAAATATTTTATCGAAATACGTACAAAGAGTTGAAATGAAATTTTATTTCTCTTGGATGTTAATTGTAGCTTAGTATGGATTTTCTCGGCACTTGTCTTTGTTTATTGGTTATTCCTGCATATAGATCTCCCTTGTCACAAATTTACTCGCGCTCCCTCCACACCTTGTATTTCCTTTTCACAATCTTCCCTTGGTTGGTATGTGTCATCTCTCTCTGTAAAAAAATCATCTTGTGAAAATTAGGATGTCCCCCTTCCCCGACGGACACCTCAGACCTTACTGAACGATCACCGAGAGGAGGTAAATTGAACTTTAACCGTAGATTGGTGACAGGAAGTGGAGCCCGCACCTGACACTTGCAGATGCCTTATGTTTAGCATAGCTTCCTCCCAGCGCAGTTGCCAAGAATCGAACTCAGGTTTACCCATTTGAAACTTCCTACCTTTACCTACTACACAAAGTCCACCAGAAAATATCATCATGTGAAGATTCTATGTATGATTGCGTAACTGAAAAAGGAGAAATTGTGTAACGCCCCGAAATTAGGCCTATCAGAATTAATTAATTGATAATCAATTAATTACTAAGAAGGACCCAAAAATAAGTGATTTATAAAGTTTGTCAATAAATAATGAAAATTATATCATTATGTAGAGTTTGACTGTCTGACCCCAATGGTTCAATCGGATTTCAATTTGGAGAAAGTTGGACCAAAAAGTGTACCCCGACTAGGACCAAATATTAGTCCCAATCAGGGACTACGTACCAAATGACGGCCTATTCAATTACGCCGATTCCAAAATCCGAATCATCGTGCAATCAAGGAAGCTGCAAAACCTGTGTCTTCTTCCTTCCTCATTTGGCTATTTAAGGAGAGCCAACTCCTTCATTTCCTCACCAAAATAATTCATTCTTCCTTCTATCTTGTTCCTTGCTGAAAGTAGAGTACAGTGGTGCTGTCATCTTTGTGTGAGGTCGCCGGAGCAGAGACATATAGTCGCCGGAAGTTTCGCCGTCTTTTCACCGGAATCATTGTTTAGCATTAAGGTAAGCCCGTAGATATATCTAATGACTAGAATGTTCATATAGGTCGTTTCTACGTTCATAAATGGTCATTTGGTTGAGTTTTGTGTTTGACATGTTTAAAGAACTAAAAATTGTAAACCTTGAATTTGATCTTAAATATATGATTTAATGATTCTAAAATGATCTATGAACCTTGAGAACATTTCTATATAATTTAATTGAAGTTCGGTAACTAAAAATGGTATTTCCGAAAAATGGACCGAAGGTTGAAGAAGATGAACAGTGACCTGAAACTCCTCTGTTGGATCGATCATATGCTCTGGATCGATCCTCTCGGAGTATTTCTTCTAGTGTGGATCGATCCAGAGGGCTAGATTGATCCCCCGAAATTCTGATCCGAAAATTTGTCTGAAAATGCTATTTTTGATACCAATTGATTATGATCATTGTAAAACGATTTTTCACAATAAAAATGACGTTTTTAACAAATTAAAACATTATGTGATGCATGATGATAAGTTCGGGTGTTAACACTCGAGACTAGGCCGCTATTTGTTATTAAATGTTATGTTGAATGATCATTATGGTGAATAAATATTATGATTGATTATGAATGATGAACCTACTTATTATAATGATTATTGAAGACTTAATCATAATTAAAAAGGGATATATTGATAATCATAACGAAAATGTATTGTGAAGGGTATTTTGAACAACTCTAAGATGTACTCATAGTGAAGTTGATTTTGAAGGTATCTAGAGGAACTCTAAAATATACTCCCTCCGTCCCAAAGAGTCCGTTACGTTTAGAAAAAACTGTGTCCCGTAAAATCCGTTACATTTGCCAAAAAAAGACCCATTTACCCTTAGCCCTAATTGATTCCCACCCAACCCCACTTTTGTCAATCCAACCTGTTTATCCCTTCGTCCTTATAAAAAAAACTTCGCTCTCCTAACCTCTTCCCTGTCGCCGCCACTTCCTCTCTCTGGATCTATCTTCTGATATTTTTTCCTCTCTCCCACTTCAAATTGGAATCACCAGTCATGGTGATTCTTGACCCTACGATGCCAAGCTTCAAGCTATTAAGCGATACGGATGAGGAAACGCCTAATCCATCGCGAAGCAGAAGTTCTATGAAATATCGGATCCCTAAATACGACTCTGGAGGTGGCGGATCTGGAACTTCAGATACGGATCCAACGTGGTGGTACCGTAAAAAGTATCTTGGGGGAGACAATTTCTCGTCGGAGGATAAAGAAAGATCTGTGGAAGAGGACGGGGAGGATGAAGAATATGTTACATCTGAGCGCATCCTAGAGATGTCTGATACTGAATTTTTTTTTGCTCAGGCCCTTGGAGATGAGGCTAAGGGACGACGCTTTAGACAGAGTATTCTCTCTCTGCTCCTTTAATTTACATTACACATGCTATTTGAATGTCCCTCTTCTGTGCTCATTGGCAAACTTATGATGCGAAATTATAATTTTCTTACTCATTGGATATAAGTGAGCTTTATTTGTATTTTAAGCTATATTGTAATGTCACCCCGTATAGCTTGGAGACTTACAATACTCAATTGGTCTTTGCGTTTGGTCTACCCGTGTTCTCTATTAGGTTAGGTGACCTCCAACTTGATAAAACACATGCTACACTGCTGTACTTGAACTTGATAAAACAGAAGCTATAATACTCTTACTTGAATTTCATAAACAGATGCTACAAAAAGAGTCATAGTTGAACTTGATATAAGAGATGCTACACTGGTCTTACTGGAATTTCATAAAACAGATGCTACAAAAAGAGTCATAGTTGAACTTGATATAATAGATGCTACACAATACATACACGCCTTAAGTCTATGTCAGTTAGTTACTACACTTCCTCTTCTTTGGCTTACAAAAAAGTTGCAAAAAGGTTTTCAATTGGAAGTGCATTTAGGCTTTGTGCTTTCTACTAACCATGTTTTGCACATACAAACAAAAAGAAGAGTACTCACATCCTTTCGTGTAAGAATGTGTGTGCCTTCTGAAAGACTTCAATACTGACTCCTAAGTTCTGTGTTAGTCTACCTTGTCTGGCCAGTTTGGTTTTCCCAATGTGAGGGATTTTGAACTGATTCCCTCCATTGGTGTCTAAAACCTGACCCATGACCCCTTGTAAGGTTAAGAACACATTATTCAGCTTTTCATGTGATAGTTCTTCAAATGCTGTTGTTACAACATTAATTAAGTCATCCAATGACCTGGGACATGATTGGTCCTGCAATGAATCAATGGCCATAAAGAACCCAAGATCCAGTATATTAAGATCTGGGCTATTGGGAGGTTGGAATTTAAGTTTAATGTTCCACTCTCCTTCTTAGCTGCTTGAAGAAATTGATGGCCATTTCCATCCACATGTGGTTAGACATTATCCTGATGGATAATAATATTCCTGTATGAACCTGGCCATTTTTCCTTTATTGCAGGCAGTACCTTAGTAAGTAATATCCTCAACATGACCTCTCTAGTGATGTTAGGGATAGGTTTCACTTCCATAGTCCCTGCAGGTCTATTTTTACTGGTCCTTTGAGCTTTTGCTAGGTAAGTGAAAGGGAATATGCCTATTTTGCCATCCCATATAAGTTCCCCATCATCCCCATACCTTGGCATGTCAACAGCTACTAAAAACATTATTTTGGGTATGAAACTTTTGTTTTGAACTGTCCTATAAGGGTCTGCTTCAGTTGGTAATGC